ATGGCGCGTGCTGTGTTCCACTATCATGGTGACGATGTCTGCATGGGCACATCGAAAGCTTGGGCCGAGCCGATCAGCGGACCGGCTCTTGTCGTTCCACATCCGATCGGGGCACATCGCCGACCCCTATCCGCTTCCCTCCCGATAATTTCAAGCACTCTTTGACTTTCTTTTCAAAGTCCTTTTCATCTTTCCCTCGTGGTACTTGTTTGCTATCAGTCTCTCACCCGTATTCAGCCTTGGATGAAATTTATCGCCCGATTGGGGCTACATTCCCAAACAACCCGACTCGCGGACAGCACCTCGTGGTGCGACAAGGTCCAGGCACAACGGGGCTCTCACCCTCTTCGATGCCCCTTTCCAAGGGACTTAGGCCCAGTCCATCACTGAGAAAGTTCCTCCAAACTACAATTCAGACGTCGGGGGCATCCGATTCTCAAGCTGGGCTCTTCCTGGTTCGGTCGTCGTTACTAAGGGAATCCTGGTAAGTTTTTTTTCCTCCACTTATTGATATGCTTAAACTCAACAGGTGATCCCGCCTGACCTGGGGTCACGACGCGAGCATCGACTGAGTGATGCAGGGGGTCCGAAGGGGTCCAGGTGGACAACGAGCGTGCATCACTGGGGATGAGGCACGCCGGGAGCTCTACCATTGACGGTCACGATGCTGTCATTGCCGGAGACTCGCTTTTGGGCCAACCGTGACCCACAGGATCACGAGAGGCCATCTTCCACCCGTCCCCTTCCCCTGAAGCCCGAGGGGCCGGGGGTCGAAGAGGGGGCGACGGTGCTTGACACCCAAGCAAGCGTGCCCTAGGCCTAATGGCTTGGGGCACAACTTGAGTTCAAAGACTCGATGGTTCACGAGATTCTGCAATTCACACCAAGTATCGCATTTCGCTATGTTCTTCATCGATGCGAGAGCTGAGATATCCGTTGCTGAGAGTCATTTCATTTTTTCATGACAAAAGGAGTCGTGGCGTCACCCGCACACGCACAGCGAACGGGATGGTGACGGTGCGCGTGCTCTATTTTCATTTCCATTCCTTGGCATGATTCGCGTCGAGGGTTCGTTGTTCGACGGCGGGTGAGACGATGCCGATCGTTTCGCCCACCCCGTAGGGGGGACGGAGTGACCATTGTCCCCTCCTGGGGCTAGAGGGGGCTCAGGGTATGAGGGCACCTCGCCCTCTCGGTGTTTCATTAACGCATCCACAAGTCGTCTGTCGAGCGAGGTTTCGACAATGATCCTTCCGCAGGTTCACCTACGGAAACCTTTTTATGACTTCTCCTTCCTCTAAATGAAAGGTTCAGTGGACTTTCTCGTGATGTCACAGACGGCGAACCGTCCACGTCGTCATGATCTGAATACTTCACTGGACCATTCAATCGGTAGGAGCGACGGGCAGTGTGTACAAAGGGCAAGGACGTAGTCAACGCGAGCTAATGACTCGCACTTACTAGGAATTCCTCGTTGAAGACCAACAATTGCAATGATCTATCCCCATCATGATGAAATTTCAAAGATTGCCCGAGCCTGTCGGCCAAGGCTATAGACTTGTTGAATACATCAGTGTAGCAGCGTGCGGCCCAGAACATCTAAGGGCATCACAGACCTGTTAATTGCCTCAAACCTTCCTTGGCCTAAGCGGCCATAGTCCCTCTAAGAAGCTAGCCACGAAGGAATCACCTCCACGTAGCTAGTTAGCAGGCTAAGGTATCATTCGTTAATGAAATTAACCAGACAAATCGCTCCACCAACTAAGAATGGCCATGCACCACCACCCATAGAATCAAGAAAGAGCTCTCAGTTTGTCAATCTTACTATGTCTGGACCTGTAAGTTTCCCTGTGTTGAGTCAAATTAAGCCGCAGGCTCCACTCCTGGTGGTCCCTTCCGTCAATTCTTTCAGTTTCAGCCTTAACGACCATACTACCCCCGAAACCCCAAAGACTTTGATTTCTCATAAGATGCCGAGCGAGTCCTAAAAGTAACATCCGTCGATCCCTGATCGGCATCATTTATGGTTGACACTAGACGGTATCTGATCATCTTCGAGCCCCCAACTTTCATTCTTGATTAATGAAAACATCCTTGGTGAATGCTTTCGTAGCTGTTTGTCTTTCATAAATCCAAGAATTTCACCTCTGACTATGAAATACGAATGCCCCTGACTGTCTCTGTTAATCATTACTCTGATCTCGAAGGCCAACACAATAGGACTGAAATCTTATGATGTTATCCCATGCTAATGTATACAAGCGTAGGCTTGCTTTGAGCACTCTAATTTCTTCAAAGTAACAGCACCGGAGGAATGACCCGGGCACTTAAGTCAAGGAGCGCATCACCGACAGAAGGGATGAGTAGACCGATGCTCATCGGGAGGCGGATCGGATGACCCAACCCTAGTTCCAACAACTTAAATATACGCTATTGGAGCTGGAATTACCGCAGCTGCAGGCACCAGACTTGCCCTACAATGGATCCTCGTTAAGGGATTTAGATTGTACTCATTCCAATTACCAGACTCATAGAGCCTGGTATTGTTATTTATTATCACTACCTCCCCATGTCAGGATTAGGTAATTTGCATGCCTGCTGCCCTCTTTGGATGTGGTAGCTGTTTCTCAGGCTCCCTCTCCGGAATCGAACCCAATTCTCCATCACCCATCACCACCATAGTAGGCCACTATCCTACCATCGAAAGTTGATAGAGCAGAAATTTGAATGATGCGTCACCGGCATAAAGGCCATGCGATCCGTCTAGTTATCATGAATCATCAGAGCAACGGGCATAGCCCGTGTCGACCTTTTATCCAATAAATGCATCCCTTCTAAAAGTTAGGGTTTGTTGCATGTATTAGCTCTAGAATTACTACAATTATCCGAGTAGTAGATACCATCAAACAAACTATAACTGATTTATTGAGCCATTTGTAGTTTCACAGTCTGAATTAGTTCATACTTACACATGCATGGCTTAATCTTTCAGACAAGCATATGACTACTGGCAGGATCAACCGGGTAGCATTCATTCGGGATGTTGGCATCGCGTGGGCTTCGACGCACCGATCGAGCGGTGAAGAGAGCCCGACGCGAAATGCAAGCATCGTGCGTGTCAAGCACGTGAAATACGTAGCATCAGATGAATGGGGGTCGAGAGCCCGCGCCCGCTAAACGTTCCACATCCGAGAGCACGATCGAACGTCGGTGCACCAATACGGCCATGGAGGATTGGGTGGTGCATTTGGGACACCGACCATGATTGATGTCTGACCCGTGGCCCCTTGAGACATGAGACAGATGAAGGATGGTGAGACATCAGGTTTCCATCGATTCAGGTATGCAACACAAGATCCCGATCGCACCCCCTGGGTACGAATACTGCATGGGGGGAGATTAAAGAGGATGATGGGTCGACAGTTCGATGCATCGAGCACGGAGCCTACCAACACGCACAACCATAGCACCACTCATATGCCCATTGCGTACAAGTGGCAGCATCTACGCCCGCCGGTCCACAACCCACCCGATCGATTACTCGACGAGTGAGCGGAGGAAATGACGTGCGAGGCCATGCCACAATCGCTTGGCATGAGAAAAACATGAGCAAGGGCCACGAGACTGCCCCTATCATCCGACAGGCACAACAAAACAACACCACCAATGCTTGGCCCAACTGGGACCGTACGTGCGAGCTCCGCTGACACCACCCTAAGGGGTCGTTGCCCGATTCAGGGACTTGTTCTTGGGGTCTCAGGCAGCGTCGGTTGCGTTCACAGCCTCGTCGAGGCCTAGGCATTTTTTTGGTCGATGAGAAGGGACCGTGAGATCGTCAAATACCGAGAGACCTGGTCGGGCCAAGCCCACAATCGTGACTTCTGCTCGCACCATCCCAGGGAGCCGTTGCTCAATTCAGGGACTTGGTCTGGGGTCTAGGGCAGCATCCGTCGTGTGCACGAGCTCGAGCTCAACTCCCCTTTTTCGCATGCACGCCAACCGATCAAGGCCATGGGCGCCTGTCGGTCACCGGAGCAACCAGTCACCGGACAAAATGGTCGGAAGGCATGCGCGCCCTGTATTTCACTCAAGGGACATTGCTCTGGGTGTACGTAATGGGAGGCCCATCACGCACACCTACTCCCCCCGTGGAGGGGAGAGAGTGGGTGTCCGACCACCACCCTCTAAAGAGCATTAGAGATTTTACAGATATGCTACCAGTAGACATTAAAGTGTCTGAAATGGGGATACTTTTTCCAAATAGACACATCCCGTACCGAGGGTGAGCAGGTGCTGATGGTGGTTGGGGCATGTGCCCGCACCAAGGGTCGACACATGCCGATACTGGTCGATGTAACTGCCCGCACCAAGGGCCAGCATATGCCGATGGTGGTCGAGGCAATCACCCGCACCAGATCGAGGCATGTGCCCACACCAAGGCCCAGCATGTGTCGATGGTGTTCGAGGCAGCCGCTTGCACCAGGGGCCATCTTTTACCGATGATGGTCGAGGCAAGAGCCCGCACTAAGGGTCAGCTTGTGTCGATGGTACTAGAGGCAACCGCTTGCACCAAGGGCCATCTTCTGTCGATGGTGGTCGAGGCAACCACCCGCACCAAGGCTCAGCATGTGCCAATGGTGTTCGAGGCAACCGCCCACACCAGGGGCCAGCATGTGCCGATGGTGTTCGAGGCAACCGCCCACACCAAGGGCCATCTTTTGCCAATGGTGGTCGAGGCAAGAGCCTGCACCAAAGGCCGGCTTGTGCCGATGGTGCTCGAGGCAATCACCCGCATGAAGGCTAGCACGTGTCGATGGTGTTTGAGGTAACCGCCCGCACCGAGGCCCAGCATGTGCCAATGGTGGTCGAGGTAACTGCCCACACCAAGGCTCAGCATGTGTCGATCATGTTCAACGCAATCGCCCGCACCAAGGGCCATCTTGTGTCGATGGTGGTCGAGGCAACCGCCCGCACCAAGGGTCAACTTGTGCCGATGGTGGTCAAGGCAACCACCCGCAACAGGGGCCATTTTCTACCGATGGTGGTTGAGGTAAGAGCCCGCACCAAGGGTCGGCTTGTGCCGATGGTGCTTAAGGTTACCACCCGTACCAAGGCCTAGCACGTGACGATGATGTTCGAGGCAACCGCATGCACCAAGGCCCGGCATGTGCCGATGGTGTTCGATGCAACCGTCTGCACCAGAGGCCATCTTGTGCCGATAGTGGTCGAGGCAACCACCCGTACTAGGGGCCATCTTCTGCCGATGGTGGTCGAAGCAACTGCTCGCACTAAGGCCCAGCATGTGCCGATAGTGTTCGATGTAACCGCCCATACCAGGGGCTATCTTGTGCCGATGGTGGTCGAGGCAACCACCCGTACCAAGGGCCGGCTGGTGTCGATGGTGTTCAAGGCAACCGCCCACACCAAGACTCGGCATATGCCGATGGTGGTCAAGGCAATCATCAGCACCATGGCCCAGCATGTGCCGATGGTGTTCGATGCAACCGCTCGCAGTAGGGGCCATCTTGTGCCG